ATTATAATATGTATATAATATACACAGAAAATTCCAGAAACACAATTTTCTGCAACAAGAATTAGAAGTGGAATAGGATGTGCTCAAACCAGATGAAACTAGAGATGGAACTCTTTTATAGCCCAGTTAGAGATGTTTATATCAGATCACAACTCAATTCAACTTTAAGTAAATTCTGAAGATAAACCACCTATCAGAAGTCAAATTTTCTTAACTACGAAGGAGTTAACTTAGAACAGGGTTACTAAAGTGTGGTCTCAGAACTAACAAACATTAGCCTCACCTAGGAACCTGTTAGAAGCGCAGACTAAAAAAACATTTTTAAGAAAGCATGTAGGGGCGGGTGCCGTGGCTCACTTGGTTAATCCTCTGCCTGCGGGGCTGGCATCCCATATGGGCACCAGGTTCTAGTTCTTGCTCCTCTTCCAGTCCAGCTCTCTGCTGTGGCCCGGGAAGGCAGTGGAGGATGGCCCAAGAGCTTGGGCCCCTGCACCCACATGGGAGACCAGGAGGAAGCACCTGGCTCCTGGCTTTGGATCGGCGCAGCGCGGGCTATAGCGGCCATTTGGGGGGTGAACCAACGGAAGGAAGACCTTTCTGTCTATGTCTCTCACTGTCTATAACTCTACCTGTCAAAAAAAAAAAACCATGCAGACTACCAAGTTCCCCCTGAAATCAAGAATTCTAGGGTGGGCTCCAGCAATCTGTGTTTTTAAAAGTCTTGCAGGTAATTCTGATGCATGCTAAAGTTTGAAAACCACGGGCTTAGAACAACTCACCTGAACTTTATATTATAGGTTAGAGCAAGCTGAATAAAACAAGAAAAATTAGTAATCTACAAAGCATAATTTAAAATGAGGCAAAAAGAGTCTGTCTTGCTCCTCTACCAGGCCTAGGAAGCTCTTGGGTTTCTTAAAATTAGAGTACTGCTCTCAGTTAAGACACTGTCACCAGGAAGCGACTCTGCCTGTTAATATGCCAACACATTATTTATCTCATTGCTTGATATCACTTGGCAGAAAGCCTGGATATCAAGGAAAGCATAATGTGGCATATCATGTGACAGGTCAGGCTTAAAGTGGAGTAAGGAGTGAGAGTCCCCAGCACTCATCCTAAGGGGATGAAAGACAGGCCCTGGTGGGACCTACAAACAGCAAACTCTAGAAATGTACTGATGCTTTTGGACACACAAACACACACACACAGAGGCACAAACACTGCGTCATCATTACTGTCTTCAGCAGCACTCAACCATCAATATATCATGGAGACCTGGCTTCTTAGCACAGAACAGTGTCTAAACTGCAAGGGTAGTTGCTTGTAGCCAGTTAGCATTCCACACCCATTTTATTCCTACATGTGACTCACGCTCAAACCGAACCTGGACTCGTGAAAGTTTGGGACTCTCTGTGGTACTTCCCCATATCAGCACCAGTGGTTTCTTAACGTGAAATCTACAAATTCAGATCCTGATGTTGGCCAGCACCAGTTGACAGAACTTAGAAACAGCCTTGCAAACCTTTGCAATGTTCTTACTTGTTACATGGAAAGAGCCCATACGTGCAACATCTTACTAATACATACATCAAAAGGTTTGACAGCGATTCTTAGAACTTCTGTTAAAATCCTTAATGTCACCACTGCAGCTGAAAGCACATAACACATTCAATGAACACAATCAATATTAAAACCTCTACTTTCTCAGAGCTTCCTTACCATACTACATACATTTTTATTATACATTCTATTTCCAAAAACCTTCTGTCTGCCTTTTTAAAAATCAATTAACAGTAAAAATCCACACCATTTTTTAATAATATAAGCCTGCCTTAAAATATGAAATAGAGATGGAAGCAATTGAAGTTTACAGACAAGTTATCCCAGAAAAAGAATAGTAGTCACAGAACTCCTTGTAGGTGTTCCTACAATAGGTAGCCAGTGTCCATGTACAACAGCCCCATTTTATGTTGTTCTATCCATTTACAGGTGACACTGTAACCTCTAACCAACCATAGCAAGAAGATCCAAAATGAAGGTTGACACTTTGTCCTTTAATTTGTTCCAAAGTACTGCAGGGGTTTTACTGCCTGATGTTACACCATATGTGTAAACTCTAGACACAGCAGGCAGGGTTAAGCAGGAGGCCTCTGTCTTTTGCCATTCTCTTGCTTCCTGTTGTTTTTGGAGCAACCCTAACTTTAGCTAAACATAACCCTTCTGGGTGGATCGTTTTTAGTAAGAGAATCTGCCTCCTAGCAGAGCACTCTGTGTGTTGATTACATTTCCAGAGCATTACTGTCTGTAAGAGTCACAGAACTCACTGATGTGGCATTTTGGCGGCATCTTTATGAAACCTACCCATTTTATGAAACATTTTAATACAATAAAATGACCCATCATGTAAGTTTTTAGGAATAAAAACCCCAAAAATTTATAAAATGAACAAAAGGAGTTCTCAAAGAATTTTTTCATCATCTTGTCTCTCAATGAGAGTGACTCATGACAGATAAGCAAAGCCTTTTCCATACTTCAAGTTATTTTTTAATTCCAAATTTACTATTATCTTTGGAGATGGGTATAATTAGTTACTTGTGCCCTCAAGAGGTTAGAACCAGTAAAATCTCTCTGATTTTACTTTTGTTTTCTCAGATATGAGAAATACATATGAGAACTAAGAAAGTATCAACTGCTACTCTCAGGTTACATAATTTCCCTCATGTAAGTCTCACCAAGCCAGAGTCCATGAAGCATATATATAAAGAAAAAAAATTTAAAAAGAGTACATATAAAAAAAAAAAAGAGCAGCTCTTTTTAAGTTATATATACACACACACACACATAAAACTTCCCCAACTGTCCATCCCCTTGGGTATTCTGTAAAGTAGAACAGTTAGCTCTATATAATTCAAAAAAAAAAATCTATACATAATTTAGAGAGGGCAGCATAAATCTCATGGGTCTCAGATTCACTTCCTGTTCCCTGCCTTCATTACACATTTAAAGATAATCAATAAAAACTGATTTCTCTTTGTAAGCATTTTCCTATTCTGCCAGAAATAATAACAGCCTCTGCCCTAAAATGAAGAAGAACTAGAAAGTAATATTTACCATAAGAGGAGAAAATGCCTAAGCATTTTTTCAGAGCCAAGTGAAACCAACAGCAAACCTCATTATCCTTAAAGAAAAAAAAAAATGTAGATACTCCGGCCTTAGTTCTATTCTTAAAATCTACGATATCAACAAGTTTTCAAGCTCTGGATTTGTTTCCACTTTTGACAACAGCTACTTTCTGTTTCCTAATAGTTTCACTCTTTCTGTGCAAGAATGTTGTCAGTGTTGAATACTGACAAAGCAAAGAGGGGACAGTTAGGTCCCCCAGATCACCTCCGAGGTCAGACTGAGATGCTAAAACCGCAGGGACAGAAACAGATGAGAAGAAAGTGGCACTAATTCGGGAAACCAAGAACTGCAATCATGTCTAACTCTCGTTTCGAAACACAAAACCTTCTGCCACTTGCATCTCAGCACAAGAACACATTGCTTACTGAAGACATTACTTGGGGCCAGCGCCGCGGCTCACTAGGCTAATCCTCTGCCTTGCGGCGCCGCCACACCGGGTTCTAGTCCTGGTCGGGGCGCCGGATTTTGTCCCGGCTGCCCCTCTTCCAGGCCAGCTCTCTGCTGTGGCCAGGGAGTGCAGTGGAGGATGGCCCAAGTGCTTGGGCCCTGCCCCTGCATGGGAGACCAGGAGAAGCACCTGGCTCCTGCCATCGGATCAGCGCGGTGCGCCGGCCGCGGCGGCCATTGGAGGGTGAACCAATGGCAAAGGAAGACCTTTCTCTCTGTCTGTCTCTCTCACTGTCCACTCTGCCTGTCACGGAAGTCTTATGTTAAATAATGTGTACTAATCCACTGGGGTTCTCTGACATACAGAAGCTGTCTCATAACTATTCAGTTTTAATTGTTTCTTCTTCTTCTGGGTCATTACAAAAGACTTTTAGAAAACACCAAAGGAAGAGTAAGTAGACTTTTACTCTGCAATGAAGTTACAAATACATTTTATAAGTTTTCCAGCCTTCTTATTTCCTTTCACTCTGCACTATCTATGGAGGTTGTCAAATTTCACCAGGGCAGACTGTAAATCAGACAAGTCTAGCCAGTCAGATTGAAGAATGGAGGTGAAAAGCACAGCGGAAAATATATAAAGTACAATTAAAACCATATGACCTGAGATATTGAAGCAATACATGCTGGAGGAAATCCAAGTAAAAATCAAACCTTTTCTGGTGTTAGTGAAACTATCCAGTCCATTTGGGACAATCACAGCCTTCATTAAACACTGTATTCTTCCCCCAAGTCCCACAGCAGAAACACCCAGAGAAGTTAAGTCCTAACAAGGTAATTAAATCTATAACTATCTTTGTAGCATTATGAGTACATAGTAGCCACTATAAAGCTGATCTCTCATTTAAAACAGCAACTTGTTTAGAAATACAGTTTACAATTGGGCAAGGGTCACATTTACATCCATCAAAGAGTAATAAACAATGACAATAATGTTAAATCCAAACCCTTTTGTAGTTTTCTATGAAATCAAGGGTTTTAAAGACCTGATACTTCCAGTAAGATAATCTAATTGTGTCTTGTTGAACATAAAGAATGAGAAGACGCAGAATCCAAACTTATTAGAGTACAAACAACCTGGATGTTATTGTCTCACATCAGTGGTGCTTACTAGGCCAATGATGGATATAAGGATGTCCCAAAATTAGGGGCTCCTGAAATTATAAAGTAATGCTGATAAAAAGAAAAAAAGAAAAAAAGAAAAAAAAAAACAAATAACCCAAAACCTTATCTTTGGCAGTCAATCCAAAAGCCATGCTATTTCTTCCGGGCATCCTAAGTGTCAATCTCAGAAATCTCCGCAGACCACTGAAACATCATTTCCAACAGTGCTTTGAGATTCCTGTTAAACAATTCAAGTTTAGCAAGTCACTTACCTCCCAGGAACTGAATTCCTCCAGCCACTCTTCCCACTGTCCTGGAGATGAGCTCTGACACACAGCAACCCATGAGGGCGGTCAGCGCCACTAGAAGAAGCAGGCCACAACCCAAGCCCGTCACCACGGTACAGATCCTCCATTCCGCACTGGGGATGCCCTGGAAGGAGGCATAGCGCCCGCACTCCTCCACCATCACCATCATCTGCCGACTCTCATCATGCACGGGATACGAGCACCTCCGGAAAGTACCAAAAGAAACGGACTTGCCCAGCTGTGATCCCCAGAGCCAGTAGGGCATGAAGAACCCCACGCAAGAGGTGGCTGCACAAAGAAACGAGAGCAGAGCCCAGATGACCCCGGTACAAGTCAGGCTGGATGCCATCTTTCGCCAGATGCGGCAACCAGGACCGGAAGCAAAGACGCTGGACTCGCAGGAATGTGGGCTGGTGCAGAACCACCAGGACCCCGTAGGTAATCCGCAGTTCTGTAAGGACGTTATGTCTACAGACAGAACGGATCTTCGGACTCACTGGGCATCAACTTCCCATTCTCTGTGGTAAGAACGATGATCCCTGGGAAAACAGCAACAGGAAATACTAAAAGTTAAACACTTTTAGAGTTGTCATAACCTCGATTTGGTTGGTCTACAGGTTTCATTAATAAATATTCAGACGTGCCTCAACACTTCAAAACTGGGAAGAACTCATTCTCTTTACAAGATTTTCTATAACTCAAGTTTTGTCAAACTAGTTCCAGGCTTTTTCATGCTTTTATCTCCTGTAAATGCTCCCAAATTAACTCTGACAGCTATTTACTTAAAGAAATGCATGACTTCTATTTGCCAAGCCAGTGAATTCATCTCATATACTCACATTAAGAGTAATGTAGCAGTTTTACTGGCAGTAAACATAATTCAGGACATTAAAATAAAATGAACCATAGCACGGTTTGTTTATTTGACTTCCAAGTTCACGCTCACAGGTTGTAGCAACTTCCCCAAGACCCTTTAAGGGGGTTTACCTCTCTGCATGAACCCCAACAAAATAATTAGGATACTCTTTCACAGTTGCATAGCACCATACATTGCACCAACACTACAGCCCATGGGGGTACATACACTGGACAGAACTACAGCATCCGACCCTCCAGGTGCATCTGCGAATTTCCTCGGGCTTAACTTTCTCCTGGTGGAAAAACGAAGCCGGTGTGTGGCTACTGTCATATCTGCTACTTGGACTCACTGGCTCCAATCATTTTATGCAAAGCATTCCGCCTCCCGTAATCCACAATTCTTAGTACTCTACACCAAACCCCAGTCACTCAAACGCTTCCAGGCGCATCACCTTCCACCCACGAACCATTCTCCACACTTTTCTTCCACAAAGAAACCAATCCAGAGGTCTCGAACCCATGTACCCTGGAGTTCCATCCCATTACCTCCTAAAGCCCACGTTCAGCCACCACCACCACCACCACCCCGCCCTACTGTGGTTCTCTTGCTTCCTCTCCACGCCACTATTCCACCTCCAGCTCTGCACTTAGAGGGAACTCTAGTTACTTTCTTCTGTTTGGTTTCCCCACACACACCCACATCCTGGCCAGTAAATCTCACCCTTAGCGGCTGAAGTTGGTCTGTCCCAGCCAGGAGGCTGGGGAAAATCAGCAGGGGGTGTCCCTGGGGGCGGAGACCCCCCAACTCCAGCCAGGCAAGCTAATCAGTCTCCCTCCCAACACACACACACCCGCAGCTGCCTCACCCACCCACCGCACCCGGGCAGACACACAGCGGTCCGGCAATTCCCAAAGCGGGAGAGAACCGTGCGTTTTCCAGCCGGCTCTGAGCGGAGGGAGGAAGAGGGGATGAGGATGGACAGGCAGCACCCCCCGCAGGCGGTGCGCACAGCAGGCGCGGCTCGGGAAGTAGTCTGGCGCCGGGGAGCGGCCCGGCTGGGGCGTGCGGGGCGAGGGCAGCCCGGCGGCGGCAGTGGAGCCCGCGCCGCGGGGCTGCCAGGCGCTTCACTTACATAGTCGGCGGGCGGCGGCCACCTTCTCTGTGGGTCCCAGGCGCGCACACAACTTGCCGGAACATCCACGGCGGAGAAGCCGGTGCTTCCCTAACAGCTGCAGGAGCCCGGGGCGCGGCTCGGGAGAGCGGCGGTAGGCGGGCGGCGGCGCCCGGACTCGCGGAGACCCCAGGCCGGCGCGGCGCGGCGCGGCGCGGCGCGATGCGGGTCGGCGGCGGCTCGGGCGGAGCGCTGTGGCCGCGCGCGGGGCGCCGGGGCTCGCACGCGCAGGAACCGCGCTCCCTTTGGCAGGCGAGGCACGCACCGCCCCCTCCCTTCGGCGGCCGGCCCTCCTCCTTCTCTTTTCCCCTCCCCTTGCGCCCCGCGGGACCGGCGCGGGCTGACGGAGGACGAGGCGGCCGCCCGGGACGCCCCCGGCGTGCGGGGCGGGAGGGGCGCGGGTCCCAGCCTCTTTGGGGGCAGCGTTCGCGGCTCCGCCAGTCGCCGGTCCCCGCCTGCCCGCGTCTCACTGCCGCTCGTTCTGAGGGGATGGCGGGGGAACGAGGACGGACGCTGAAGTAGCGGAGAAAGTTGTTTTTTGGGGGGGGTTGTTCCCGAGCGTGCCCCGGAAGGGAGAAAACACGTTGCCCGTTGCTTTTCTGGACCAAGTGTTTGGAGTTAAGCGCTGATTTCCCAGCCGTATTGAAGAGATGTAGATGTGGGGGCCTTAAGGGGCTGGTAAAGCAACGAGGACGTGGTCATTCCTTGTGGTCACTTAGCGGTGAACTAGGCGGGGGTGGACGTGGAATGAGACCAGAACCCAGAAGCTAAAGATTCTGTGGGGACAGCCGCGTTTCTAGACAAGACGGAAGAAAGGCAGGGCAAGCTCTCTGGCCGGCCTTCTCCCAGGAGAATGATAGCTCGCTCGCTCTCTCTCCTTCCCCCTCTCTCTCCTTCCCCCTCTCTCCCTCTCCACCCCCCCACCCCCCTTTGCCTGTCTGCCTTCTCTCCCTGCCTTCCTCTCTCTCTCCACCCCTCTTTCTGATTAATCTTGCAGTCCATGCCATCATTGGATTTCTGCTCTGTGAAACAACTCTTTGGCTTCCACTATGGACTTTCTGGTCCTGAGCACCAACCCCTTTGGAAGTTTACAGCTCTATTCAGCACATGACTGTGGGAGTCTTCTGCTGCAGATGATATTTTGAGAAGCACGCCATCTGGGAATAGCAGTTTTTGAAGTAGATACTTTCCCAGAGTTTTTGTGGTGTGCCTTTCCAAAGTAGTTGAAAATAATAAATGGGTAAATGTATATTTCTTAGCTAATTGTCAGATTGTACTCTTTTAATTAGCCATAATGGTGTGCATTTTTTCATAACTACAGCTGTGTGTGATTTTTTTCATTATTATTTGAAAGGATTTTTTTAAAAAATTTATTTATTCATTTGAGAGGTAGAGTTACAGAGTGAGAGAGAAATCTATTTTCCATCCACTAATTCACGCCCCAGATGTCCACAACTGCTGAGACCGGCCAAGCTGATGCCAAGAGCTTCATCTGGGTCTCCAACATGCGTGCAGGGATCCACTGAAGTGGGCCATCTTCTACTGTCTTCCCAGGCCATTAGCAGAGAGCTGGATTGGAAGAGAAGCAGCCAGACTCCAGCTGGCACCCTTATGAGATGCTAGCTCTGTAGGAACCGCCTATGCCACAGAGGTGACCCCCTTGCAAGGCTTCAAGTCACGGATTTCAAACATTTTTGAGCTCAAAGACCTTTCTAAAAGTATGATGAAACTGATGAGCCTCCCCTGAGGGTATGGAGATGTAAGATGTTTAAAACACAAAACGGAGAGAAGGAATGTGGCCCACCAGAGACACATGGCAAGGTCTGGAGAAATCTTCAGTTGTCATCCAAATCTGGGAGGTGCTCCTGGCATGTAGTGGGTAAAGGCCTGGAACCTACAAAATATAACATACAGGACAGACCCTGAAATTACCCAGCCTGAGATGTCAGCAGTGCTGAGGGTTGAGAAACCTGTTTCATTGAGATGTCAGGTGGTTCTCTGTTCCCCTGAGTCTCATGCATGAATCCCAGGTTCAGAATCCCTAATTTCAGCATCTGGGCTTTTATTTTTCTTTAAGTTAAATGGCTGTAATAGTTCTTGTACAAATCAGCAGTGACCCAACACAAAGATGGCAGACTAATGATTGCTCTGTCTTCCAGTGTGTGCCACACCCTTGGTTATTACACAGAGCTTTCACAGCTACCTCATGTGGAGACAGGAGATACGATTGTATAAAGACAAAATAATAATAGGGAGATTCAGACTCACCCCCACACAATCTGCTGGGGGAATTGGTCTAGGACACTTTCTCAGGCTGGGAGGTGCTCTGAGCACTTCAGAGGTATGGCTGGGGAGACATGAGTGGTAATCAGCCTTACCACGACTGAGTCTTAGCCTTGTATTAGCCAGTACTCCAAGGTTTATTAATACAATGATTTTTCTAGTCCTCAAGAAAGAAAAGAAAAGCTATGATGGAACAATTATTATTTTATGGAGAGGTTAAGTGATGTGTTCAAAAACTTACAGCTAAAAAGCAAACTTTTAAAAAACATTGTTATTTGCATAGTGTTAAAGTAAATGCTACCAAAGAGATGCTGCCTAAGATAAAAAAAAATAAGAGATAAAGAGTCCAAATATTTAAAATTCTATCAGGATGCAATATCAATTATTTGTAAAAGCATAGTGTGTTATATACTGGGGCTCACAATTCTCATTGAAGTGAAGTAATTTAGGTAAATGATCTTTCTGAGCCTACATTATCTCATTTGAAAAAAGAGGTTAGAATAGATCATTCCCGAAAATCTTTTAGACTATGAGTTCCACCAGCAGGATTATACAGGAAGGCTTATATTTGAGAAGGAGTTTAGGGATCATCTAGTCTTGGTCAAGTTCATGATTTTACAGATGAACAACTGGAAGGTTAGCATCTTTCCAGTGTCTTTTTGTTTTGTTTTGTTTTTTGTTTGTTTGTTTGTTTGTTTTTGGCAGGTAGAGTTATAGACAGTGAGAGAGAGACAGAGTCTTCCTTCCATTGGTTCACCCCCTAAATGGCTGCCACGGCCGGAACTACACGGATCCGAAGCCAGGAGCCAGGTACTTCTTCCTGGTCTCCCATGAGGGTGCAGGAGCCCAAGCACTCGGGCCATCCTCCACTGCCTTCCCGGGCCACAGCAGAGAGCTGGACTGGAAGAAGAGCAACAAGGTCTGGAACCAGTGCCCATATGAGATGCTGGCGCCGCAGGCAGAGGATTAGCCAAGTGAGCTATGGCGCCGGCCCCATCTTTCCAGTGTCTTAACCTAAGCTGAGCCTAGAATCTATGGATCTTGATTTCTTCTCTCATTCTACTATGTAATTATCTCCTCAAATTATAGAATCTTCCAAATTGCCCTTTGATTTCCTGTAAGTATATTTTATAAGCAAAATGCATCATAATGTCTTTGAAACCTTTGCATTAAATTTGCTTCTTCAAAGGATCTTTAAATTACTTCATAGCCATAAGTTCCCACATAGCACATGCTGCTTATACCCTTCATTCCAGGTTTGGCTTCCCAGTATGTTTACATAGTAGTCCCATTGCATCACAAGATGAGATCATGAAATTAAAAGTATGTGGAAAGCTATAAGGCATTTATGAAACACTCTTGGTGGACTACCCAATATTAATTCCCATCCCTCTAACCCCTGTTCACGAGACACTCTTCTTGCCTTCCTTAAAGCTAATAGTGACCTCTTCTTATTCTAGCCAATGAATCTGCTAAGAAAGCCTCTGAGGAAAACCATTCTCTGATAAAGAGGCATGAGAGAACAATTCCATTACCATCCTGGCTGTCTTTGGATACTTTCTTGAAAGATATCAGGTGCTGGTGCTGTGGCACAGTGGGTAAAGCCATCACCGGCAGTGCTGGCACACCATATGGGTGCCAGTTAGAGTCCCAGCTGCTCTATTTCTGATCCAGCTCTCTTCTATGGCCTGGGAAAACAGTGGAAGATGGCCCAAGTCCTTGAGCCCCTGCACCTGCGTGCGAGACCTGAAAGAAGCTCCTGGTTCCTGACTTCAGATAGGCCCAACTCCAGCCGTTGTGGCCATTTGGGGGAGAGAACCATCAAATGAAAGACACCTCTCTCTCTCTCTGTCTCTACCTCTCTCTGTAATTCTGTCTTTCAAATAAGTAAAAATAAATCTTTAAAAAAAAAAATCTTGACTTTGAACTGTTCAGAGATAGAGATGCTCAGCATTATAAAATGTCCTTGTGCAAAAAGGATTCACTTAAATGCAGACCAAAAAGAGAGAAATGCATGAAGAACAATGAAAGAGAATAAGGGGATAACAGAAGACTCTAAATAGGGACAAGAAAGTATTTCTGACTACGGAGCTCATCAGTTCTTTTTTTTTAATCCTCATGATAGCATATCTTAATTTTATTATTTCCTTTTTCAAATTTTATTTAAGTTATACAAGTTTCATGTATTTCATACATACGGATTTAGGAACATAGTTTTACTTCCCTCCCACCCACCCATGCTCCAGCCCTTCTTCCTCCTCCCTCTCCCATTCCCACTCTTAAGTTTTACAGAGATCTAGTTTCAGTTTACTTAATGATCATAAGGTTAACCCTACACTAAGTAAAAGAGTTCAACAAATAGCATGAAGGAAAAAAACACTGTTCCTCAACAGAAGAGACGAGGGCTGTCGTCAGTTCTTTATCAATCAATGAATACAAGGGTGCTTCAAACAGTTCATGGGAAATGGAGTTAAAATATGTTTATTGGGTTAGAAAATGTAAAATGCCTACAGGGGATCTTCAGAAAGTTCATGGAACATGTGTATTATGGAAAAAGAAGCATGCATAGATTTTTTTAATTTGCAACATAATGGACATCTTTTAATTCTATTTTCCCATGAAATTTTGAAGTACCCTTGTACATCATTTGTTCCTCCACATATACTGTGAGATAACTCAAAAAATGTTCCACAGACTGAAAAACTAGAGCCATAGTTTTCAGAGCAGAGGCGCTGAGTCAGGCTTCGATACTGTGAGGTTATGGGAAATTCTTCCTTTGTGCTACTTCCTTCTTTGCTTCCTTCCTTCCTAACTTACACTTTCCCTTCAGATCCCCTTCTCCCTTCTAACTTCAGCAGGGTTTGCGGTTTGCGGTGATGTTTTGTTGCAGTGTATCCACCTTACACAAAGGAAAAAAAACCTCAGGGGACAAGTGACCTCTAGATTTCCTGGTCTCCCTTTCAAATAAGTATTACTTTTAGAATGCTAATTCTCCTGTTTGTATACCAATGTGTACGATAGCTATTCAACAGTGCAGTACTTTGGAATTGCCTGTTTCATGTATTTGATAGATTTAAGACACTATCCACACCCACCCTGTAAAGGTTATCTTTGTCTAGTTTTGTACAGTTTCTAAACATAGTGATTTGTATAACTGTATTCCCCAGGAACTCTCACAGAAATAAGGTTACTGTAGTCTATGACCTACTCCCAGTGGTACTGTCTGAATTATTTATTTAAAGTTTGTGAATTACTTTGGAAACATAAAATGTCATATAATTTCTGTATATTATTCTTTTATGAATTAAAATAGCATACACATTTTAAATCAATAACTTATTCATAAGAAGAAAAAGTGTGAGGTGTTAAATCACATTTAACATAGCAAATACTTCACATTAGACCATCAAAGTGGAAAATGACCATAATACATCATTCACTTATATACATATATATTTGCTACATAACTCAGTATGCATTTAAAGGCAGTACATAATTATATTTAATATTGAATCAGTGTCATGCTTGTGCTACTTTTAAACTATTTTTCTTTCAGTATTAATATCATCTCAGCCTTATTTTAACATTACAACTTTGTTTTTGTTTTGCACATTTGCATAGTACATAGATAGATGAGTATTATGAGGAATACAGAAAGAGATAAGACCATGGTGTTGATGATAATATTGGCCCCCAGTCAGTTCTAACTTCTGAAAGATTCCACAAAGCTGTGTTTCCATAGTATTTTTTTTAAAGATTTATTTACTTATTTGAAAGTCAGAATTACACAGAGGAGAGGCACAGAGAGAGAGAGGTCTTTCATCTGCTGGTTCACTTCCCAATTGGCTGCAATAGCTGGAGCTGGGCCTATCTGAAGTCAGGAAACAGGAGCTTCTTCCAGGTCTCCCACGCAGGTGCAGGGGGCCCAAGGACTTGGGCCATCTTCCACTGTTTTCCCAGGCCATAGCAGAGTGCTGGATGGGAAGTGGAGCAGCCGGGACTTGAACTGGCACCCATATGGTGTGCCAGCACTGCAGGCGGCAGCTTTACCCGCTATGTCACATCGCCGGCCACCTCATAGTATTTTAAAATATTAAATCTTCCTGTCATCAAAATAAGAAGCATTTCAAGGATCAAATTTACCAAAAAACAACAGAAGAGAGTCAGAAAAAGAAAATAATTAATTTGGGATTCTAATAATAATCAGGGTTTAACAAACACTGTTTCCTGAATTAAATAATCACATTACAGTGAAATGGTACCTCTGTAGTTTTCATCAGGAGGCCTTTTCCTCAACACATCCACACCTGACTTATCTCACTCCTCTGAGCACCTAGGGCAGCTGGAGAATTGGGGAGACGGCCTCCCACACACCCAGTGTGCTCAGTTCACCCTGCTCTTCTTTCTGGGTGAGACTCCTGTAGTTCCTTTCTACAACCCTGGAATGCCTGCCCTCCCCACACTGCAGAGACCAACACAAGTGGACACATCTGCTCAGCTCCGGGATTCAGTGCTGACGCTCCCTTGTCCCCTCAATAAGCTATATCCCCTGGTTGAGCTGTTAACAAGTGAGAAACATAACCAATGTTATGTTTGCAACCTAACAGTTATTTTGCAATGCAAATACGGAGGAGGAGTACTCTTTATTGGACCCCTTCTGCAAACCCACTGTGAAGACCCCAAGGTGAATGTTAGCACATTCGTTTCAGTGTTAGTTAGCTGTTGTGTGACCAATATGCCTGCAACACTGGGGCTATACTAATGGGATCAGAGAGAAAAGGGGGAAACTAATTTTCAGCAATTAGCATTGGCTTGAACATCCAGAGAGTGTATCTTAATGTTTCAGGTGATGGATATACCAGTTATTTCATTGTAATCCTTCCATGTTGTTTAAATGTACTGGAAATCACACTCTACTCCATAAGCATGTACAATTATTAAATGTCCGTCAACAATAAATACAAGATTTTTAAAGAAGAATGCAACTTAAAGGGTATACTTGGTTGACCTGCCAACTAGCGTGAATCAGCAGATGAAGAGAGAAAGCTATGTTAACTAGTTAGATTTTTGAAAGAGCAGTGTGTCTGAACTTGGGCAAGATGACAAGAGGCAGAAGATAGCCTGAATGAAAACAGAATTAATGGCTTATACAGTATCAGCCATGCCAGCAGGTAGACTAGGGTGGAGGAGGAAGGAGAGAGAGACAGAGACAGAGGCCAAGGGAGAGGAAGACAGAGGCAGGAGGACAGAGAGGCCTAAAACATCATGTGATAAACTGACATGTTGAAGCTGGACAAGTCCCAGAAGCCCAGTTTTGACAGGACTTTCTCCAACCCATCCCTGCAGCAGCTCAAAAAACCAATGCAGTGAGGCCCCTACCTTGCTGCATATTCCTTGGAGAAACCCTTCTGAATGAGCTGTGGGCCCCACACTAGCATTCAAACCTCAGGTGAGGGGAGACTTTTTTACCTCCCAAATAGGAACACACCAGGTGGCAGTTTCCCTCAAGTCTTAGAGGGTGGTAAGGGAGGGGTATAGCATTTTAGCACTTCCTGACAATCCACCCAAGTGGAATTCTGGGCCTCCTGATGGGACAGCCCCCTGCCAAGGGGAGTCTCACAGGGGCTGCTCTGTGCTTGGGAATCTCTTCCTGCTGTCATCTTGCACAGCCAGGAAGTCTCTCTTCCTAGGTCCTCTTTCAATTGCACTTCCTGCACCAGGAACTTCTGAGCCCCTTAGCACCTCTCTAAGGAGGCCCCTGGTAACCCAAGTCTGTGTTGTTTGAGCATTTCAGTGTCTGTTTTATCTCACTCTCACTCAACCTTCGGGGGGGGGGGGCGGGGGATCGATTAAAGAGAAAGTTCTCTTGCTAAAAGGACTTGGATTGGAGCCTTTTTCAAGAATTAACTAATTTAAACATCAGTCTTCTTAGAAACATAGCATAAATTTACTTACCATCAATTCCTATACCATTTTCCAAGTTGTTCTTTAAAACAACAACTTTTCATCTAGTTGGAATGAATTCTGTATTGTCACAGAGATACACTTTGACCCAAAATATTAAGAGAAAGCTCTCATAATTACTCATTTAAAAAAGAACACGTGTAAGTCACTGTCACACTGCCTTCAGACAAGTCTGCCTTTTCCAAAAGGAGTGCGAACCAGCCCCTGACAACCGTCATTGGAACACACCGTGTTTATTGGTGGAAAGAACATGACTCAAACACCTGAGTCCAAATGCAGAGTCTGGATCTTGAACATACTAATGCTGACCCAGATACCACTTCTGTTGTAACCAGTTGACACTAAGCAATGTCTTTACCTATCTAAATTATTTACCACATAACCGACCATTTGCCTGAGGTGACAAGAATCAATACCTCATTCATATCAGTAAGTGTTGGCGCTTGAGTTAATAACAGTGTGCGCATTACAATGTGATTTTCAAGAATGCTGAGTATCCATTTCCTTGTATCAGAAGCCGCCTAGTGGTAGAAAGGCAGCAAAAAAGAGGACTGGATCTTCATTAATTTTTCTTCCAGGTATAAGAGTATCTGTTAGAATGCAACTCAACTTTGACTTTTCTATCAATAATTGGCATTCCAAATGCCTTTGTTCTTAACACATTAACACGGGCACAGGTTTCGTTTAATATAGGTAACTGATGAGAGTAGTGAGCCAGGGGAAGCCCACATTATATCTTTGCTATAAATTCCTTGTCTTTTAATTACATTATTAGTCTTTTGTTTTTCACCTGTGTCCTCTAATTTCTTTCATGTCATGATGCTGATGATCAGAAATGATGAACAATTTACTTACTATTAAATTTTAAATCTTTGCTTATCACCTGCCTTTGTTCCAAAAACCATCAAAGCCCTAAATAAACCAGGCTATATCTTAGAAAACAAACATTTATGGTGTAGTGAAAAGAGGAAAAAAACCAATTTCCTTGATTCAAAGAAGTGTATGAGTCTGCTTAAAAAGAACAGAGAATAGATGGCCCCAACTTGAATTTTTGCTGGAAAGAAGCAAGAAAGAGAAAGGCACAAAAAGCAAAAAGCAGCTCCACGTGAGATCCAAATACAGAGGCAGATCAGGAACACCCAGTTCTGGGTCTCTTTGAGCTGACAAATTGTGTTTGATCTTGGACAAGAAGCCATGTAGTATAAGTGATGTGATCATCATGTTCTCTTCTGCAAATAAAGTTTTGTGGTTGTCTTAGCTTTGTTAGAGCTGGTACAGCAATATATCCTAAATAGGATGGCTCATGAGTGACTGACATTTATTTCTCAGAGTTCTGGGGGCTGGGATACCAAGATCAAGATGATGCTGGCATATTCGGTGTCTGATGAGCGCCAGCATCCTGGTTCATAAACAGCTTTCCTCTCTTGCTGTATTGTCACATGGAAGAAAGCGCAAAAGAACTCCTGGGTCTCTTTCTTTCCTTTCTCTCTCTCTCTCTCTTTTTTTTTTTTTTTTTTTTTTGACAGGCAGAGTGGACAGTGAGAGAGAGACAGAGAGAAAGGTCTTCCTTTGCCGATGGTTCACCCTCCAATGGCCGCTACGGCTGGCGCGCTGCGGCCGGTGCACCGCGCTGATCCGAAGCCAGGAGCCAGGTGCTTCTCCTGGTCTCCCGTGGGGTGCAGGGCCCAAGCACTTGGGCCATCCTCCACTGCCTTCCTGGGCCACAGCAGAGAGCTGGCCTGGAAGAGGGGCAACCGGGAAAGAATCCGGTGTGCCGGCGCCGCAAGGTGGAGGATTAGCCTATTGAGCCACGGTGCTGGCCACCTGGGTCTCTTTCATAAGGCCACAGTCTCAGTCATGAGGGTAATGCCCTCATGATGACCACCCCCAAAGGCCACACCTCCAAATACCATCCCATCAGGCACTAGGTGTCAACTTATGAATTTTGTGGGAGGGAAGGCACGATCTATAGAAATGATTATTTAAAGTTTGTGCGATGAGACTGAAAAATAAACAGCCACCAACAGTCACTCAGGTTGCTACCAATAAATTCCTTGCTGTAGTATGTTAACTGCAACTATCTGATGCACCATTTTGTCTAACATTTTCTGCATATTCCTATTCCTGCTTAGATAAAAATAACACCACTTTAACATTTTTAAAGCCGTGATAATGATTCTATTACAATAATCAATGTTGGGGAATGATATCCCAATCTGTTGCCAAGCTTCCCAAGGTATTAATCCAAACCATAAGATTTAAATCATATACTTCCTTACTCAGTTTCTACAAATTTTTTTTTCCTGCTATCTTAGAATTCATTTAGTAAAAAATAATCCAACATACTCAAATGGGCAAGATTAGTTTGCTAGGTGCACACCAAGGTCAAGACCTTAAACAATAAAGCTAAATATAGTTCCTTTTTTTGTTTTATTTATCTTTTTTAAAAAAAGATTTATTTATTTGAAAGGCAGAGTTACCAAGAGAGAGGTAGAGAAAAAGAGAGAGAGAGAGATCTTCCACCCACTGGTTCACTTTCCAAATGGCCGCAACGACCAAGGCTGGGCAAGGCCAAAACCAGGAGCCAGAAGCTTCTTGTGGGTCTCCCAGGAGAATGCAGGTGCCCAAGTGCTTGGGCCATCTTATACTGTTTTCCCAGGTGCATTAGCAGGTATCTGGAATAGGAAGTGGAGCATCGGAACTCGAACCTGAGCCCATATGGGATGCCAGCACTGCAGGTTTTATTTTAAAAGGAGAAAAACTGTTTAATCTAGATGCTTGTCCACACTTTCTTGGATTAAGTGCTGATGTATAATAAAGGTAAGTAGAAATGTAATGGCATAGTTGACTTGACATTACCAACACAGGTTTGATCTGATTTGATGTAGTAGGAGAAACACCCCTTCTGTGGGGAGGGGAGGTTGTGATTTAGACCAGACAGGTTCTGGGCATTTGGGCATTGCCACTCACTGGGATTTTTTGTTTGTTTGTTTGTATTTTACCTCAGATAAGTTACTTAGTCTGCATCTAAACCCCAATTTGCTAATCTACAAAATAGAGACAATAGTATCTGCCTATAGTGTTGTTCTAAAGCCTGAATGAGTTAATATATGCACTTAAAACAGTGCCTGGCATGTAGTAATATTAAATGGTAGCCGTTACTGCAGTTTTAAGATTTCTTTTCTGCTATCTTATAACCATATTAGTAAGAATAATTCAACACACTCAAGCATACCATGAAAGTCTGATCTATCTTTTCATGGTGAATTGTTACATTAAATTGAGTTTTCTTTTTAAAAAATGATTATTCAGTGGTGGGCATTTGGTACCTGTGCTTGGATATCTATATCCCATAGTGGTGTGTCTGAGTTCAGTTTCTAGTTTTACTTCTGATTTCAGCTTCCTGCTAATGTACCTCCAGGGAGGCAGTAGGTGATGCCACGAGTGCTTGGATCCTTGCCACCTACATGAAGACCAGGATTAAATTCCAGGCTCCTGGCTCAGCCCTGACTCTTGTGGGTATTTGGAGAGTGAACTAGCAAGTGGGAGTTCTCTCTGCCTTTCAAATAAATTAAATCTAAATATGATTATTCAACTTGCAATCTAGGATGTTTCTCACAATTCCTTTTGAAAGAGAAAAAAAGATTCTGAGTGAATTTTTCACATAAATAAAATCATTGGGATGTACCCTAGTTTGGATGTGTTGTTCACTTTGCTATTTTAAAGAAAATGGTAGTCAACAAAAATTTCTCAGTGCAAATGATCTTTGATATCTTAATACATTTTAATAAGAACTGAATGTAAGGGAAAGTGTTAGAAATATGTTTCCTCTGAACTCAAGAAATGAGAGTGAGGCCCCCAAAAGCTAAATATCTTTTCTTCAATCAAGTCTGCCCCTACATCTGGCTCTGCCTTTCCCTTTTCTTTCTTCCTCCCTGTCTCTGAAACTACCTTGACAATACAGTTTAGCAGCCACCTTGCAGAGGCAAAGTAACTACTGTGCTCTGTAAGTTTCAGCCCACGTGTCATCTTTAGTCCCTTAAGATATGAAAGCACTTTGGATTTTGTAGAAAAGACACATTAATATAATCTCAAATGTCCTTAATAAATAACAATATAATAATAATTAATAATAAAATGAGTTATGTACAACATCTCTCATTGATTTTCATCAATTCTAACTAATGATTTTTCTTGGAAGTGACTTTGTGTGTTAATGCACCCAGGAAAGCAGCGGAAGATGGTCCAAGTACTTGGGCCTTGCTACTCACGCGGAGACCCAGATGGAGTTCTAAGCTCCTGGCTTCAGTCTGGTGCAGCCCTGGTTGTTGTTGTGGATATTTGGGAAGTGAACCAGTAGAAAGAAGCTTTCTCTGTCTCTCTCTCTTTTTCCCTCTTCTTCTCTCTCCAAAATTCTCTCAATTTAAAAAAAAATACATTTCTGCAAAAATATGGGTAATCTTTTAATTATTTACATTATTGTCCATATTTATACTTGTGAGAATAAAAATAGTAGTGGATTTTAGAAAGTTTGTGGGGAAATGGAATTAAACAGATATACTTTATTTGTATGCAAAGAAATGTTGAAGTACATGCATAGTTTTAACATAAATGCATTTTCCATGAATTTTTGAAGACCCTTTGTATACGTAGATTTAAAAAAAAAATTTGCACTAAAATAAATGTATTTTTAATTCCATTTTTCATTAATTTTGTGAAGCATCCTTGCATATGTATGAACCAAACCCCTGAGGAAGCCTACTGGTAGGGCAGTAAACCACAGGGAGTGTTTACCCATGCTCTGCTGCGATAGTCTTCAGACTTTAGAACTGAAGAGAAACTTGCACACGCCTTTTACTCTGGTACGTTTTCAACAGATGAATATTGTTTTTTCTTAATTAAGCCTAAAACTATCTTGCAGGGCCAAGTCGAAATCATGGAAATGGCACGGTGTTGGTTATTCCGGCGAACTGAGCTAGAAGCTGCGGGCTGTTACCCAAGAGCGACATCTGCCGAGGTCCCAGGAGTAAGGTTTGCCATGTTAGGAAGCGTCGCCCTGGGGCGCTGAAGCAGCCGACGGGAGTCACCGCTAAGGCACGAACGGATTATTTTGTAAAGTGTAGGGTTTCCTTTTTTATTTTTTTATTTAAAGAGAGTGTCAGAGATTTGAAAGCGTTTTAAGGAACTTTCTCTCAGTTAAATGGCAACAGCCCAGTAAGGCAGGCAACTTGGGAATGTTTCCATTTATGGCTGAGAAACAGATTCAGAGAAGTTTTGTCCAGCTCCAAGTCAAGCAAAGGGTAAAATCCAGCCACAGAACGCAAGGCTGCATCTACAGGATGCTCTCTACTCCCCACAGCAAGTTCCTCACCTCTCAGTTATCACAGAAGCGATTCTACCGGCAATGATTACCCCCATAATGTCAGACTGTTGGATTTCATGTGTCCGTTTTACCCTGGCCTCTCTATATAAAGACCAGTATGGAAAATAACAAGGAATGCTATAAGAAACAAAGTTTGAAACGGGAAAGACTGAGTCACAGTTTCAATATTTATCTGAAGACTTCATCATGAAGTAACAACATTCTTTCTGCCAAAGAAAATCCCTCCCATCCTTGAAGGCCCGGCTGCCCGGCTCAGAATTACTCTGGGAGTCCTGGTGCCCTGGCGCCTGCCTGCCAGCTGGCCTGCACTCCTGCAACCCCTGTGCTTCTGTAGCACGTTTCACTGCTTCTTTGTTTTCTGTTTTGAGGTGGAGCTGGCACGAGCACTAGAAATATACATTCATATTTTTACTACATATAAAATGACTCTCCATCTCTTTTTCCCATATAGCTTTTTTCTCTACTTAAATTTAACCTTCAAACTTATTGAAAATGACTATTGAAACACTCGGTGTGGTTGTGCATGTTAAATCACTTAAAAGTCTGACATTCAAATGTCTACAAAGACTAGATAAGGAGTCTAAATGAATAAAGTAAGCTCAAGTACAGGCAAAGCCAAGGTGCCTCCTTGGTCTTTTATTTTCTTATTTTGGAAATAGTCATGATAACTGATATTTTTATCCTATAAGAAAAATATACTTGATGACAAACGATAACTGGTTTTAATCTCAATATTGGTGGGCAAACAATAGGGAGTGATGTAGATTGCGATAAACTGGGAAGTAACGATATGTTTAAAGGGAAGATATGAGGCCGGCACTGTGGCATAGTAGGCTATGCCTTTGCCTGTGGCACCGGCATCCCATATGGGCATGTCCTGGTTACTCCTCTTCTGATCCAGCTCTCTGCTTATGGCCTGGGAAAGCAGTGGGAGATGGCCAAGTACGTGGGCCCCTATACCCATGTGGGAGAACTGGAAGAAGTCCTGGCTCCTGGCTTCAGATTGGCCTAGCTCCAGCGATTGTGGCAATCTGGGGAGTGAACCAGTGGATGGAAGACCTCTCTCTCTCTCTCTCTCTCTTTCCCTCTCTCTTTCTCTGTAACTTTGCCTCAAATAAATAAATAAAAACTTTAAAAAGGGGGGAGGGAGCTATGAGATGGGCCTGGAATACCTCATTATGACAGAAAGCAAGTAAATCTTCAAAGAAGGTTGCATATGTATCAAAAGAACACAGAAGAAAGTTTGGACAGCCCTCCACAGAAGAAATCTGGGAAAATGTGAGCATTAAAAGAAAAGGGACAGGGGCTGGCACTATGGCATAGCAGGTTAAGCCAGTACCTACAATGCCGGCATCCCATATGGGCGCCAGTTCCAAACCCAGTTGCTCCACTTCTGATCCAGCTCTCTGCTATGGCCTGGGAAAGCAGTGGAAAATGGCTCAAGTTCTTGGGCCCCTGCACCCGAGTGGGAGACCCAGAAGAAGCTCTTGTTTCCTGGCTTTGGATTACCGAAGCTCTGGCCATTGTGGTCAATTGGGCAGTTAACCAGTGGGTGGAAGACCTCTCTCTCTCTCTCTCTCTCTCTCTCTCTCTCTCCCTCTCCCTCTCTTCTCCTTCCCTTTATGTTGCTCTGCCTTTCATATAGATAAATATTTTTTAAAGTCCATGGAATTAGAATATGATATACATTTTTCAAAAATATTTTGAAGTTCCTCCATATATTCAAAAGTGGAATGTCTTATTCATGTGATAGTTAATTCTGCTTTTAATTTTTACAGGAATTACCATACTGATTTCTTGTGTAGCTGTAACTGCATTCCACCAACAGTATACATGTTTTCGTTTTTCTACATGTTCTGCAACCATTGTAATTATGGTGTGTGTGTGTGTGTGTGTGTGTGTGTGTGTGTTAACAGCAGTCATCCAAATGTCTGTGAGATGATATCACATTCAAATGGCTTGAATTTTCTTAATGATCAGTGATTTTAGGTACCTTTATATGTGCTTTTTGTTCACTCACATTTTGTTTGGAGAAATGGTTATTTAAGTTCTTTGCCCATTTTTTGAATAGGGATATTTAATTTACTTTTTAATTATTGAGTTTTAGAAGTGCTGTATATATTCTGAATATGTTAATCCTATAACAAATGTGGTGATATGCCACATAATGATATTTCAGTCAATGATAGACCATGTATGTAACAGTGGTCCCATAAGATTATAACAAAGCCTAGAAATTTCTAATTCTTTGTGATGTTGGAGGCATTATAATGTCATATCTCAAACATTTCTCATGTCTTTGGTGATGCTGGTGTAAATAATCCTACTGTTCCTATAATCATGAAAGTATAGTACATATGCTTATGTGCAGTATGTAATGCTGGATGTGTATAACAAATGTTACTGACTTGTGCATTTACTATACTACATTTTTATTATTATATTGGAATGTACTGCTGCTTATAAAAATCTTACTGTAAAGGAGTTTTGTGTGCTGCATTAGCAATGATCTCGTACATCTTGTGTTGACCTGTATCTCTTGATTTTATCAAGAGGTCTTGTCGAAAGTTTGATATATGCCTTCTAGGTTTGGTTAAGTTAACTCTATGATGTTTGCACAATAACAAAATTACCTAGTGACACATTTCTCAGACTGTATCTCCAACTTAAGCTACATATGACTGCATATGATTTGCAAATGGGATGCCAGCACTGCAGGTAGTAGCTTTACCAGGTACGCCACAGCGCCGGCCCCTCTTTTTTAAATATTTATTTATTTATTTGAAAGGTGGAGTTACAGAGGCACAAGCAGAGATACAGAAAGAGGTCTTCCATCTGCTGGTTCACTCCCCAAATGACCTCAATGTCTGGAGCTGGGCCAATCTGAAGCCAGGAGCCAGGAGCCAGGAACTTCTGCCACATCTCCCACGTGGGTGCAGGGGCTCAAGCACTTGTGTCATCCTCCACTGCTTTCCCAGGCCATCAGTAGAAAGCTGGATTGGAACTATAACCATTGCCCATATGACATTCTGTGGTGGCTTTACTACACCACAGCGCTGGCCCCTAAAATAAATATTTCTATATGAATATATAAAGTATGTTCATATTAAGAGTCTTACTAAAAAAGATGTTTAGTTTAACACCCTCATTTAATAACCAAAGTTCCATATAGAGCACAGATATTCAGAAATATTTTGTAAATATACACATTTATTGCAGGTATAAAATGTTAAAAGAAATAATGAAAATGGTTTTATTTTAAATCATCAATTAAATGCTATCTATGGTATTTGAAGAATAAGTATTTTTTCTGAAGTAAACATAAGGTTTTAATGTCAGGGTATATTTTTGCAGTCTACTGGGAGAAAAATGGAAATATTAGGCTCAATAATATGTGTTAATTTTTCTGTCGATTTCTGCATTATGAGTTCTACTTTCTGGTGGGAAAAACCTTATTACTAAATCATTAACGTTATTGTTTATAAGAAGTTGCAGGCAGTGGCTCTTTCCCTATGCTTAATTTAAATTATTTCTTAGCTGTTGGAAAGTATCATAATTTTAACAAATAGTTAAGTTTACTTTTTAGTTTTTTAAAAAATTTCCCTAAAAATTAATATATATTTCTTTAAAATTGAAGGTTATTTTCATGTTAAATTAAAACAAACTAAAATGTGGCATTTTAATTTTTTATTTGAGAAGAAAGTGATACTAGTGTTATTGGAAATACCCAAAATTTGAAATTGCTTCTTAAATTTGAATATAAATAAGTACATCAATTCAATGACTTTGAAAGAAATTCTCAATGCAAAAACTCATCATATAAATTTGTGACAAGCATGGATAAATATAGACACATGCTCATAAGTAATTTTTATTTTTATGTCAGCTTCCTGTCAGAGGCAGGTGATTTATAAAATGCTATGATTAATAATAGCAGTAGTAATGATGTTCATTCTTTGCCCTTAAAATCAGGAAATTGATTTTAGACACAGGACACTTGCCTGGAGTTACCCTAGAGAAAACGAGAGCATTTCTCCTGCTTTATCACCACCATCTGATAAACTTTCAAGGTCAGAGTTTCCAACGAGAGACAGGGTCTGTTCTGGGGACCCTGCCAAGGGTGACAGGATCTGGTCACATTTTATTCTCCAGGTTATTGAGACACGGAGTCCTTGGAAATTAGGATTTGTAATCTCATCTAGGTTAAAGAACCTTCCCCACTCCTTGAGAACAGTAAAAGTTTCCTCTACCCTTGATTACTGGAACACCCTGTTTCATTCTATCAGCTATAAATGGTGGGGTTTGGCTCAGCAACAAGCTGTTCATATCATATCAGGCTCCCTACCCAGGTCCTGGATTATTAAAAACATTGCTGGGATGGTTTATACCTTGCTGCTTTTTCCCAGGCTTTTTCCTCTACCCTTCTCTCCCTTGGTACAAAGCACCAGCTGCTTTGATAACTGTTTCTTGGCCTTATGATTGACTTACTTGTTCAGAATGAACCACTCCATCTCTGTCACCAGGCAGCTTTTTCAACAGACAGCAAAGCAAATAACTCTGGGGGTCAGCTATTCATTATGATGGAAGTAATCATTCATAATCATCTACCAATTGCTGGAGAGTGATTCCAAATTTGCTAACCAGTCATTGTTGACAGTCTTGCACTCAAATATCATATCACAGAGTCTCACTTGGCTTGGGTATTGCTGTTTCTGTGCAATTATTGCCTTAAGCTGACAAAAAATGCATTGCATTAATATTTGAAATTAAAATCAACGATTAGCACAATGACATAATACTGCTGTCAAATGCTATTGAATTTCTCATTAATATTAATTTGCAGCATACAGAGCAATGGTTTAACAACTCAGCTACACACATCTAATTCAGATATTGATTAACTGAGCCATAAATCTATGCTTGTGAAAGAAATTGCTTTTAACTGTCTATGTTTGATTTTATGGTCTTAGCATTTTCAAAATTCATCATATTTCATAGTAACTGGATTTTTATAAGTAGTTCAGTTATAAGCAAATATTTGTTAATTTTATGATCTACCTAAATTTGTTTTAGGTTGCCAGGAATCACTTAATATTTTCTAATGAGTTATTTACCTAGTATTATAGCTCTCATATCAATATTATCATCATCAACCATGTTTTATGGAATGTGTTTCAAGAACCTGGGGCTGACCTTGTAAAGGATTTCTCTTAGTAAAGGAAAAAAGATGTTTTACTCAATTGTAGCAATTAAAAACCATTATGTTTAAGATTTTTAACACACACATCATGTTTATAATACTAAATGAACATGTTAACACAAAGCCCACATAACAATATTTAAAGATTCACCACTGGATGCTTTTGTACATTCCTGACAAAAAAAAAAAAAAAACTTGCTTTTTGTAGAAGAACAGTTCATTTATTTTTTCGTTAACAAATATTTATTAAATGTATGAAGCATTCTACTAACTGTTGCTTGGGATGTATAGATGAATAACTGATGTCCTTGAACCTCAAGGTGTCTTAGTATATGCTAAGAAAATAGATGTGGTATGTGTGCAATAATCAGAATACAAATTTCACTGAGCATTTATTTTCATTATATCTGTGTA